CGCAGGCCGGGAGCTCGCGCACACGCCGCCGGGTGATCGCAGACAGGCAGGCAGGCAGGCAGCTGAAAAAACCCCCTCTGGGGTCCTTGGGTCCTTCCTGGGTCTGTTGTCGCGCAGGCCGGGAGCTCCCGCGCAGGCCGGGAGCTCGTGCGCACGCCGCCGGGTGATCGCAGACCTTGTAGAAATATTTGTGGCAAGTCTTTTGCCTGTTTCAAACTGACCTAAATAGTAGCAGCAAAGCAATAAACAAAATAGATAAAAACCCACTCTTTTATTATTAAAAAATGTTTGTTACTTTATAAAACATGTTGCCTGAGAGTATTTTCAAACAATGATCTCCCCTAGTGCATTTAAAATACAAATGTTCAAAAATCTCATACTTAATTCGGGGGCAATTTTTTTTTCCAATGACCAAAAAAAGAGAGGTTGACGTATAGATCACAGACTTCTCCCCAGGTGAGTTGGTAAACACTTTCATCCCAGTTCAGGGGTCAGCCCATCTGGGCTAAATTGTGCTCATTTCCTATACAGGTGTTAGGTTGAGAGGCTGACATTTGCTTGTGATGAGCAAAGTAATCAAAACACGAAGAAGAAATGCTGTGAACCTTATAGCACGCTCTGTTATCTCTGCAGGTGCTGCTAGGAAATAGGTTCCTTACTGATATCCACACCACTGCTTTATTCCTTCTCCCCAGACCCACCTGACTTCCTGGTGGGTCTCACATGTGTTTTTGAAGCTCTAAAGGTGACAGGTAGGCCAACTTTTGGCGTTTATCTTCTTGAGCAATTCTGGTTACTCTAGATTACAGTATTTACCTGTGCTGAGAACTTACAATGTTCCAGGCACACTTCATGCATTCAAATCAAGTAGGTAGAATAGAAACGTAGTTGTAGCATCATTCTTCTAAGATTTGTTGTTCTGGAGTTAGACTTCTTGAATTGGAATCCTGGTTCTGCCCCTTTATATACGGTATAACGTTATTTGTTCTTTAAAACCAATGGATAGGTAGTATTATCTCTATTTTTCAGATGAAGAAACTGAGGCTAAGAAATAACTTATGATTGACCACAGCTGCAAGCTCTGCAAGGGTAAGTGGCACAATTGAAACCATATTGGTCCAAGTCTAAAGCCCAGGTATTAAGCCACAGTCATGGAGAAATGGTGCCTGGTGCTCAGTTCTTTGTCTGTTTCACCTGTGTAATGTTAGGTGTTACTGCTAACCACCTAAAACTCATCCATGGAGGTGCAGCCGACACCTACAAAGACTTCCTCCATGGAACTTAAAAGTGACTAAATACTGAATTTAAATTACTTCAATTTCTTAAAGAGAAATTTTGAAAATTAACTCATACATTGTCAGTTATTTAAGATACTGATACCATATGCTCACATATTTTGAGATTTCTAAAATCAGCTAGCACCCAGTTTCAGTTTTCTAATTATTTAAACTTGTCATAAATCACAGTCGTACCTTTGCTATGCCTTACCTCTAGATTCTTTCTGCTTTTCCCCTTTTCACAAATAGGTACTATCAAATATTCAGTGTTGGTGTGCCAACTTGCATGTGCTGTGATATGGTTAATCCTTGTATGACATGGCTTTGTTTCTTTAACAAGCCACTTTTATAAGCGATATATTTATTAATATTAATTTTACCTCAGTGAAAACTTATGCTACCAATTTTTATACAAACACAAAGTTCAGATTTGTTTTTAAATTATTGAATAGTATGCATTACTCTTTCAAATTAGGCACAATTGACATCTTGTATTTGCTCATTTATTTGAAAGCTTGTTGCTTTTTCTTTTCTTTTTCATTTAGGGTCTATGAAGAAGTGTGCATTTCATAATGTTTCCTAAATAAAGCAATGGTGTAGAAAATTAGCAGGTTAACACTTATTTGGCAATGATACAGTCTCCTAAAGACAAAATTAACTTGATAAAAATCTAAAACTGCTAAGCTTCCTTTAGATAAAGATGTACTATACTTTTAATAAATTTCTAAATTAAAAGAAATAATCCATCAAACAGGCTTTCCAACGTAGAAATTCTGTAAAACCCTGATTAGAGTTTCCAGAAAGTAGATAATTCTTTTTAATGTATTTTGGATAAAATTTAAAAACTAGAACTTATTTAGAAAACAATTTGTTGAACCCTTTTTTGTTTGCAACTACTTTATTTAATTTTCTATTGCTTTCTATTGGTGGCACTTAATTCCCCTTTTATAGATGAGAAAACACTTGGAGTGGTTAAGAACAAGATAGCATAGACTAAGTGGCTTGTAAACGGAAGATCCTGCACATCCTATGACCAAGGAATTAATGTGGTATCTGATGTGACCCACACACAGTTACAGACGGTATCTGCTGTGTCCTTATGTGGTACAAGAGGAAGGCAGCTCTCTGGGGCCTCTTGTAAGGGCTGTAACGCTGTTTCTGGTGAGCCATGGTGAGTGACATAATTCCGAGGTCCCTTCTTGGGCTCCTAATATCATTATATCAGTGTTTGGGTGTCCACATGTGAACTTGGGGAGGGTCCAATCTTTGGACCACAGGAGCAGTAAACTACACGCAGAGAATTCTACATGTGCAAAGATCTTAACCTCGGGGGGAGATTGTGGAAACTTGGAACAATAAGAGTGGTCTGCGTGGGTGTCCCTGAGTCACCAGGTCTGGCAATGTAGGGATTCCTAGAAAATGTCAAGGACTTGGGGATTCAGCGTCACATTCTGGAAATAATATTTTTATCACAATAAGATAAATAGGTCAGAGGATGTCAAAGGTAAGAGTACAGTTGGGAGGGTTTAGTGGTTGACAAGTCAACATGGCAGTACAGACTTGGGGACTGATAGTGGAAATAAAGAAGGGTGATTTTGGAACTAAACTGGTAGGATGAACATACAGCCAAACAGAGGGTGTGGAGATCACTGGTGAGAATGTGTGCCACATAATTCTCAGGTTACATCCTTGTGATACTTGAGGCAGTTGTCACCATTTGTTGAGATTTCTACTGGACGGAATGTATTTTCAGGAAGATTATTAGTGTTTGCCTTTGAAACATGCTGATTAGGTAATTTGATGCATAGATCTTAAAGTCAGCAGAGTTGTTTGGAGAAAGAGGAAAAGTAAAGAAAAATCAACCACTTATTTTTTCTTAATTCTCAACAAAAAATCCTACGCAGTCTCAACTAGAAACCTCTTCATATTTATCCTTAACTCTATGCGTTTAGACATTAAAATGTATCACAGTTACCTGGGCACAGGGCAGTGGGGAAGATGCACTCTTTGGATTCATACTGCCTGGATTTTTACCATTTCCCACTATAACTTTTCCTTCTGTGCCTTAATTTCCTCATCTATATTAGGCTAATAATAGCTAATTTGTAATGTTTCTGTATCAGAAAATAAGGTAATTCCAGGACAATTTTAGAACAGTGCTCAGCACATTTTACATGCTTGATAAAAGTTAGCTCACATCATCCAGGAAGTTTATCTAAATTAGGATTTACATCAAGTTGTAGAGCCTCGGAGCTCTGTAATAGGTACTCGGTTGAGATATAATCTGATTGTGCCTCTGCTTGGAGATCGATGACAGATTCAAATTGTGTGCCGGTTAAACTGTCACAAAGTGACTGGGAGGAATATTTTTAATAGTATTCATTTCTGCATCCTATGGCAGACCCGCTAAATCATGATCTGGGTGATTCAAGGGCCACACGAACGCACAATGGTGCCTCCTCGGTTTATGAACACTTTTGATGGCGAACAACTTGGTTCTTAAACAGAAGCATTTGGCAAAAAATTTGTTTTTCTCTGCAAACGCCGACACACACATCCATGGCCATCTTCCCCAGAATCATGGAACAAATTAAATTTATGAACCAAGGTACCACAGTATATGACTATTTTTTTCTGAGATTCTTTTTCAGCTTCAAGTGTATAGTTAGCCATCACAATGTGTATTTCTCTTTATAGTGGACACATTTTGCTGCCAGTGGTCTGTCTCTGTACAAAGTACCTTTCCCAATTCCCCCTGCATCTAAATATGGCCATGTGACCATTTCTTGCTGTTGAAATGTGAACGAGAGTAATGCTTGTAACTTCTAGGGTGAATGTTAGAAAGGTTCTTTGTGTTCTGGACATTCTCTTTCCTGTGTGGCTTGGCTGGCTGAAGGGAGCAATAAAACTCAAACTGGAAGTAACCTAGGTCTTCAAGTAGCTATGTGTAGGAAGGGTAACCAGTAGACAAGAGTACAATCCAGAGCTGTTATAAGAATGACGATTATGCTTCTGCTTTGTTAAATAATAAAAATATTGGTGTATATTTATTATAGATGCTTCTTTCCCCTCAATGATTTTTCCTTCCTTCAGACTGTGTGATAGTCAAATCTTGTGTGTAAATTTTGCTAGATGATGGTGTCTGCCTATTAAGTCAAACAGTAGTCTAGATATTGCTGTGAGGATATTTTGTCGGTATGATCAGCATCTGAGGTCATTTGACTTTAATTTAAGTAGGGTTTGTTTTGACAATGTGGGTTAGGCTTTGTTCAGTCAGTTGGAGACATTACAAGCAAAACAGATCTGTGTTGAGGAATTCTGCTTTGGAAATATAATATAGAAATCCTCCTGGAGTTTCCAGACTGTTATCCTGCTCTGTCAATTTCAATTTGTTGGCTTTTACAGTGACCCCCCACTCCACACGCGTGTGTGCACACACACATTGGTTTTGTTCCATTGGAGAACACTGACTGAGATAAAGTCTACATCTATCCAAAGAACATGATGGAAAGTTTCTCAAGTCAAATGAATTAACTTTACATAATTCTAATTTCCTAGCTCCTGTCCTTCTCCACCCTAACTCTCTCAGCCATCTTGAAGCCAGTTTTCAGCACATATATTAAAAACATACTCATCTGGATAATTTACTTGGGAATTACTAGACCAAATAAGATTGCTATTTGTTAGTTATTAAAATATCACTCAGCTCTGAATAAATATCAACATGTCAATCATTGTGGGTTTTATATTTAATATTGCTCAAGTAAGTAGTAATTTTTAAAATGTGCATTTTGTAGACTCATTTTAATATTACAAAATATATTTAAATATTCACACCTTTCAGCATAGATTTACCCTTCTATTTTTTTATATGATAGCTTAGTAGGGTTTTAGTATTCTTTTTTTTTTCAGCTGTAATTGAGTTTATTGGTACATTTTAGGGATATAGTACAGTTACATTCATTGTTGGGATCTTGTACCTCTACATGACAAGTCTTGATTCTCATTTTTTCCCCTTACCCTAGTATTCTTTAAATAGGAGCCAGTTTCTGCTTTGTTGATCCACCTACAGCCAATTTATTGAGTTTTATAAAACAAAGCAGTGTCTTTTTAGATCATTATTTAAACCGGGCATGGTGGCGCACACCTGTAATCCCAGCACTCGGGAGGCTGAGGCAGGAGAATTTCTGTGAGTTTGAGACCAGCCTGGGCTACATAGTGAGCTCCAGGTCATTCTCAACTACATAGTGAGACCCTGTCTCAAGAAACCAGAAAAAAAATTTAAAAATTTTTAAAATTAGATCATTATTTAAAATACAAGTTGAAAAATGCTTCATAGGCAGAGAGTGTAAATATTCATGTTATTCTTTTAAATATTTTGGCAAAGTTTCCATAGAGATGAAAGTTGAAATTATGAAATACTATTTTATAATTGATACTGATGGCTTAATGCCAATGACATTTTCTGTTTGAGGTCCCCAGACAAAGTGGCCTACATTCCTTTATCTCACGGAGGACACACGATTCCTATCCCCAAGCAGACTGCAACTACATTTGAGTTGTAAACCGGCTTCAAGATGGCTGAGAGAGACAGTGTGGAGAAGCCCTGGAGCTTGGAAATTAGAATTATGCGAAGTTGACTCATTTGACCTGAGGAAGTAATAATCAGTCGCTTCTTAGGAAAGAGGCTCTAAACAGAAAGTTGAATGATTGAGGCAGGTGCTGGCCCTTGATCACGTTTCCGGTATTCTGTGCCAGGAGAAGGTGATCACCCACTTGCCCCGCGGCTTACTGCACGCACGCGTGGGCAGGCGCATAGACATGGATGCACACGCATGCCCCGTTGGCAAGGCTCTTTCACTCATGGTCAGATTGTGAGAAGACGTGAGTCTAGACTATTCTATTTCAGTTAGCTTTTGGTTTCTTTCATTTGCGGTTTTGTAATGGCAACTACTGCTTCATTTTTCAAAGCCATGTGATCTAACCCAGGGAACTATTTGCCAGTAGTGGTGCCTCAGAAAATAATGATTTATTGTTTTCCACGTTGGGCTGCCCAAATGAGATGTGGCAAGTGTCCATTTCCCAAGTATCTTCCCTGTCTAGTTTGTCTTCTTGCTTTTCTAATGCCTTTTATGTGATGTTAACCCAACAGTTTGAACTCTCTGAACATTAATTTCTTTCATCAGCAAGAAGAGGGATTTTAATAGCAGTGTTCATAAAGATGGAGCTAAGTTGGATGATAATTTTCCTTTAACTCTTTGTCTTTTTTTTTTTTTTCTTTTCTGCATCTGTATTACTGAATTCCAGGGAAGGGCAGCTTAAAGTGTTTGTATTTTTGTAGACTCACCTAACAGTTGGGACCAGTTTGGCCTTACTCAAAATAGACTAAGGTAATTTAAGACAAAGATCTAAGCAAGGTATCAAATGGAAAAAAGGAATAGGCATAAATCAGTAAGTCATATGCAAGGTGCTGTCTAGTCAGATGCTATCAATCACTTGGGACTTCTCAAGATATCCCCCAGCCCATGCGGTGCTCGGGGTGCTTTTCAAACCTTGGAATTCCTGGGCCTCAGCTGATGCTCTCCAAAGCAGGCTCTGTGGCAGTCAGGCCTAGGAGCCTTTTCTATGTTTTCTTTTGTTTTTAAGTTGCAGGTGAAGCTGGGGAGCACATAGTCGCCCAAGATGTACATTCATTGTGTTAGTTTTGAGGAGGATCCAAAGATGAAGCCCCTGAGCTGCTACCTCTTACTAAATTTTACTTTTGCAGCCATGGATGATAATCTCTGGCTCTCTGGCTTCCATCTTTTCCTTCTGTGCCCTCAGCCACAGGGGTGTCTGGGCGTGAGGAGCAGGACCAGATCCAGCTTCTGTGACAGCACAGAGCACTGACTCCATGTCAAAGCGAGTGTGGACAGAGCACTGCCAGTCTTTCTGGTGAATGGGCCACTTCTTATAAATAAATTAAATCGGCCGCAAAACCAGATACGTTCTAGAACCCTCAGGGCTCCCCCTCTCCGATCTTCTGGCATTAGAAAGTTTAGGAATTTCCAAAATTTCTGCAAATTAGGTGAGAAATAAAAGTTCTACAGATGGATTATATGGATCATGTGCTATTTTTACTACTTCCAAGAAAATAGTCTCAAAGTACCATAGTAACTCTTCACACTTTTA